ATTCTGATCGAGGTCAAGTTGCCTCATGAATTGGACAGAGCATCAGCCAGCGTGCCGGCGTTGTGAGGCCTGCCCAGCTTATGTCATTCAGGGGACTGTGGCCTGCCCTTTGGTTGCCTGCCACGGATATATCAATTCCAACTCGAGATGTCTTGTGATCCAGAATATTCGATACCGAAAAAATCATGTCCATTCGAGCATGCATGCAGGATTAAATGCACTGCTTTGCAGAACTACCCACCATGGTCACTGAAAGGGCGCAGAGTGGGGGATGCATCATTGACTCACCAGCTCGCTTGGCGTCTGCTGTCCCAAACGACGATGATAACCGCGCTTCACGACGCCCCCTATAAAAGGCATCATGCCCAGACAGACACAACACACGCACGTCTACTTCACGAGCATCTCACACCATCGATGCACCATGGCGACCCTCTACATCGGCAACAAGCGCTACTCCTCCTGGTCTATGCGGCCCTGGGTCCTCATGAAGGCCCTCAACATACCCTTTGACGAGAAGATCTTCTTCTTCGCGCCGACCATCCGCCAGCCCGCCTTTGGCGCTTTCTCTCCGACCGGCAAGGTCCCAACCCTCGCCCTCGCCGACGGCACCGTCATCTACGACTCGCTCGCCATAGTCGAGTACCTCGCCGAGGACCACCCGGCCGCCTGGCCCCGCGACCGCGCCGCCCGCGCCTACGCCCGCTGTGCTGCTGCCGAGATGCATTCGGGCTTCCCCGCCCTGCGCAGCCAGTGCGGCATGAACGTCGGCCTGCGCGTCGACGTCGGCGTCCCCGACGACGCCCTGCGCCGGGACCTCGACCGCATCGACGCCCTGTGGACCGAGGGGCTCACGCGCTTCGGCGGGCCCTGGCTCGCCGGCGCCGACTTTACCGCCGTCGACGCCTTTTTCGCCCCCGTTGCGAGCCGCCTGCAGACCTACGGGCTGGCGCTGTCCGCCGACGCCGACGCCTACGCCCGCAGGCTTCCTGCGCACCCGGCTGTCGCCCAGTGGGTGGCCGAGGGTCTCGAGGAGACGGCGCGCTGTGAGATGCACGAAGCCGATGTCGTTCGCGACGGGCGCAAGATTGTGGAGGACCTTTGCAAGTGAGCTGTTTCGGCGGCAGAAGAAAAGACGCAACTTGAGACCGTGCTTTTTTTTTTGTGTCCAAATAGGGGTTCTGTTGCCAAGAGGAAATAAGACGCACGGAAGTACAAGTCTGGTTGACGGTCCACTGTTGCATCGTTCCTTTCTCCCTTGGCCGGGAGTCTTCCTCTTCTTCAAGAGGACCCCTTATTTCTGCTACACAAGATTGCAGTGGCAAACATTCCATATAACATCACAGAGACACATCATAGATCAACAAGTTCAGCCACGAGTCGTTATTATTACGATCATCTACAGCATATCCTTCATGTACACGGCAGACTAATGCCGGTCCTTCGCTTATCCGTTTCCTTTTCGGTCGATATGCGTGGTATCTTAAAACATTACGTGCCGCGTGCGGCATGGGGTGGTGGGTGAGCGAGCAACATCTGGTTATGGAGCTCTTTACAGGGCAACGGCGGCGGCGATGACACCAGCAATAGCCCAGCCGGCGGCCTGGATGCGACCGGCGGCAGAGTCACCACCGGCAGCAGTGGTCTCAGTAGCAGCACCGGAGGTGGTGGCATCGGCACCAGTGCCGGTGGTGGTGCGGGAGCCAGTGGGGCCCGAGGCAGTGCTGTTGGAGCCAACAGTGGAGGTGGACGAGCCGGAGACAATGACGGTCTGCGACGCGACGGTGCTGGTCACGGTCTCGGTGCGGCAGAGGCAGAGTCAGAGCGACGGGCATGTCTCGACGTTGAGGCAGAGCCAGTGCAGTGTGCGCGCAGAGCCGGAGCACCGCCAGCGTTGCTGCAGAGCCAGTGCGAGGCGGAGGGTGTCTGCAGAGTGTCAGAGAGTTTATCAACGTCACACGTTCACACAGTAGTCTCTGACGTACCGCACTGGTCTCGAGCACTGAGAGCTGGCAAGCAGGGTGGACAGAGGCTGAATGCTGTCGAACTTGGAGCAGATGAGGTGAAGTCGCTGATGGAGCAGTCGACGCTGTTGATGCCTGGGACAGGCAGTTCAGGGCGCAGGAGGGGATCTGGCTGATGATGCTGGTGACATCCTGGGCGCGAGCCTTTCGACGAGGAGAGCGGCGTCGTCGGCGAACTTCATTGTGGCGGTTGGTAGAGAAGCAAATGCTTTGGTAGGGGAAGTGTGGAAGGTTGAGTTGATGATGGGAGTCAAGCTTGGCTGAGGAGCAGGTTGATGAGTAGTAGAGAAAAAGAAGAGAAAACTCGATCAGCGCAAACCCGGGAGAAAGGAGCCGTTCTTAAGGTCCTGCCCATGGTAGCTAGACGTACTGTAGTTCACATCCATTCATCAGAGGGTCCAAGGCAGGTGCGCGGAAGACTGCAGTGCCCGTTCCTTCTTTCCCTGCATGCTTGGCCCCCTTTCCACCCCGGCGCCAGGCAGCCCTTACCCCAGTTCAATGAGCCCGGGCCGCACTTGCTCGCACTAATCCTGAATCACAACTTACATCCGGGCAACATATTGATGATCCCTCCTCAAGCTGATTCGATCTGAGTGAGCCTGCCCCAGTGCTGTGTGGTCTTTCTTGCCGTCGCAGCTGTGGAGGGATCCACATGGGATATCCCATCGACATCCACAAACGGCACGGTTACGTACCACGACCAGGCCCGAGCCAGCATAGCTCACCCCATCAACCCCTGCGTCTGTGGCTTGTGCCTGGTCTCGTTGATGCGCCGACTCCATTCCACCTGCTCCCATAGGCCAATGGCCACTATGTGGACCGCCCTGACGTGTGGGGCTGGCATGGGCCCAGGTCTCTCTGGCTTCGGGCGGAAAGCGACAGATAGGAAAAGTCTGGGCAGGAACGAGGAACGAGGAGCACGACTGGCAGTTGTTTGGTCTCTCCGCCGGTTCTAGACAAAGCGTCGTAAGGGGCAGCGACTCAGACATGGCCCCAGTCTGTCTCGCCGGCTCGCCGTCTTTGCCTGGCCAGCTGGCTCTATTGATCTCATGGCCCAAGCGTGTAATTTCGCTGAGATCATCTCGACCTGTTCCAGTCACCTTTTGAGAAGATGCGGGGAGGAGGCCGCGGAGGGAGGTACATGTAAGAACGTCCGCTGGTGCAGTCGTCCGCGTCGTCGTCGTCGTTAGTTTTCGTCGCCGCTGTCTCCGAGATGTATGTACTGATCGACAGCAGTGGCGTTCGTATTTGCTTCACATGCCGGTATTGTGCCGCGTAGGCCGACGGCAATGCATCGTTACAGCTACGAATCGGAGCTGCAGACTCGGCTGCTGCTCCTACTGCATTCGGCGACTGGGAGGACTGCGAGGGCAGCTCAAGAGGCGAGGCAAGGCGCAAGGTGCGTAAGCTCCCGAGCCCACTCAACCTCCCCCCCGGAGTCGCCAGCATCAGACTCTCCACATCGAACGCCCTGTGCCACGAGCTAGTCTACTGTTGTTGGATTCCCACTGATCGGGGTGGATGGCGGGTGGAGAAACTCTCGCTTGGTGCAGCGAACCCCTGGGGAGGCCTGAGAACAAGCCTTCGTCTCTCCCACGTCAGGTCAACAAGACCCTGGCCAAAATCTGAAAGCTTGCGTGCAGTCGCCTGAGTGCTGAGCAAGCGGAAATCTCGGCCGCAGTGCACACTAAAAAGAAGAAGCAATGGGCAATATCCCCGATCGATCAGACCCATATGATCAAACTCTGATGAAGAGGGCACCGTTGCACCGACGTTGATCCGACGACCGGCCCGTGGTTCGCGCTTCTGCTGGTGCTGGTGTAACAAAGAGGTCCCTCCTCTATCTCCCGAGCTGTCCGCCCACCCTCGCGCTGCTCACTCGTCCCTCGCTGCTCAGACATGGCGCATTGCCATCTCCACCGGCACGCCCAACGGCACAAGCATCTTGCTTGTCTTGCCCTCAGCACGAGGCTGGACCTGGCCTACAGCCGCTACCACCTTTTGGAGGCCAACAACGGTCCAGTCCATGGGTCGCGATCCTGCGTCATCCCGCCTGTGCACAAAAGCAACCATGCTCTCCCCACACGCGTGGAGATCGCGCAACTTTTCATATCCAATTGGACCATCTCCATAACATCCTCCAGGAAAATCGGCACACTAGTCCACCATTCCCAAGAGCGGCCCCTCATGCACCTGAAAGGTACGTGAAACGTTGGGCGCTCTCGCTGCCATCTCTATGGTTGGTCTCTCCAAGCCATGTCTGCGTGTCTGCCTTGACAAAACGCAAAGCTGAGAGCTCACAATCACATGCTTGATCTAAGGGTTAAACAAGGAGGGTAGCTTGCTGCCGTACCATTGTGACTGGCAAGCTAGGTCGGTTGTTTAATTATGTTACATTGCAATCGGGGCGGTGGCTCCCGTCCACGGCATTCTTAAACCCGGTGCATGCCTCGCTGACTCAAGAAAGGAAGAATTGCGGCCTGCTTGTCAAACCCGCAACCTTCCCCGGATCGTGTATACTAACCAGTCTACTAAGAATGCGATCGATGCGTGGCTTGGTTCGCAGCATGCAGGTCTCGGCCTTCATCCGTTGTGGACTTGAGCCTATTTCATCGCAGGCCTGACCTTTGATCCGATTATGCGGTGGCTGACGCCGGGCTTCCGCGAGTAAGGCTTCCCAACAAACACCACGGAGTTTTCCGAACAGCCAAGGTTTTCTCGGCCTTCGCGATACAAAATTCAGCCATTGAACCAGTGCACACATTGAATGAGTTTTGTGGCCTCTCTCAGTCTGGCTTCAGGAAGTGGCTGCTGAATGTTTCTGGGCAAAGAAATCCGGCTCATAGTACTCGAAGGATCCAGGCGCCAGCGCTTGACTAGATCGCTTGCGAAGAACGTACGACATCCTGTGGTATCTATCGTGTGGAGTTTGACTCTCTCATGCGTCAATCTGCAGTTCATCTGGCCAGATATCTAACTATAGCACTGCTTCTTTCAGGTTTGGCACACCTACCCTGATCGCACTCACTGAATGCCGTGCGCTTGCGGTCTCGACTGGAAACACCAGCAAGGCAACAACCAATGCCAAGGTTGCCATCATTGACACCGCGGCCATTCCTCTGTATTCCGGTCCGTCCATCAGCATTAGGGTGTACATTGTCCTCTGATACCATCGGCCCAGATCCTTCGAAAGTGCACATAATTGATTCTCTTGGTTCTACCATGACGAGCAAATGCCAAGCTACACGTCCTTCCGAGGAGGAAATCCCTCATTATGTCAGGGGTCGCTTAAACGGAGGACGACTGCACACCTGATGGGTTACGTTCCAGACTAATTGTTGATGTTTTGATGCCCAATTCTTTGCAGATCAAGATTGTATGTCCGTCAGATCCTAAGCAAGTCCAGCTATCATCTCCTGGAAGCGAATTCGTACCTTCGGCCCAACTTTGTGAACCAAAAGTGACGTGCACAATCCATAAACTCACGTTGAAACAAGTAGCTAGAAATATAGCGACGAAGGTATGAAAGTGCCACAAGTGTTCACTCATTACACAGCTTCAAAAACCTCAATCTGTGAATGGATGCCGATTGCGGCACATACAGCGTATAGCTGCGTCTGCCGCTTGCACTCCTCACAGTGTCCCGTGCGAGTGGATGTTCACACTGTATCAAGCTGCCCCGCGCATCGCATCGCAGCGCCCACGCCACCTCATCGCGGGGCACACAGGTGACTGGCAGGCTTACCACGTCACAACTCCCAATCTTGAGCACACAAAACTGCTCATGACAGCGACCGCCGCCCGCTAGTCATCATGCCGGAGAAAAAGGTTTCCGTGCTCTTTGTTTGCCTCGGCAACATTTGTCGGTCGACCATGGCCGAAGGTGTCTTCCGTGAGATCGCCAAGGAGCCGCAATACAAAGACCTCATCGGGAGGGTTGATTCGTCAGGCACTGGTGCGTTGGATGCCCCGGGACCGCCGGACTGGCCCTGAGTGCCACCATCTTCCCGCTGCCTCATGCTGATATGACGCTGGGAACTAGGGGCTTATCACATTGGAGAGGGTCCTGACCACAGGACAATGTCGACGTTGGAGGCTCACGGCATCACCGACTATGTGCATCACGCGCGCAAGGTACGCTCTGCTCTTGTTCTCACCACCCTACTCCCTCCTCCACCTGAACGACATGTGGCTGACAGTTCTCGTTTCCCCTTGATCAGGTACGTCTCTCCGACTTTGACGACTTTGACTACGTTTTCGCCATGGACCGCCACAACCTGCGCGACCTCGAAAGCCTACAGCAGCGCGGCAAACCAGACTCGCGCGCCAAGGTCCAGCTCTGGGGCGAGCATTCGGGTTCGAACAAGGCGGAGGAGGTGGACGACCCTTACTACGGCGGCAAGCAGGGATTCCAGACTGCGTACGAGCAGTGCACGCGGTTCTCCCGAAACTTCCTCGCTGATGTTTTCCCCAACGTCAAGACGGCCTAAGCCTGGTTGGTGAGGCGGGCCCCAGGTGAAAAAGTGGAAAGACGGGGCTACCTATTTTGGTGTGCGATGGCTGGGCCGTCGTGTGTATGTGGTGTTGCTATAGACGGAGATACCCAACAATACATGGCAATAAATCTTACAGCAAAGGCCGACGGGCGGCTCGCGACCGCATCTGAGCTCAGGCAAAGATTAGAGTTGGGGGAGCCAGATCTCTCCTTGTCCAGACGACCTAGGCAAAGCATATTTGAATGGCCGATGTGAATAGCTCGGTAGGCAGGTCAGCTCTCCACCACTGTTCGTCAGCCGAGCCAGTGCAACCCAACTTCAAGGGCCGGGACGAAGAGGCGATGGATGGGAAAAGGGGGGGGGCTCGGCTCCTCTGGGCCCTTTGATCTGACCTCAGCCCTACCAGGCCGGCCGAGGGTGACAGGTTGACCTGTCTCTCGGGGCATTTCAGCTCGGGCCTGAAAACGGAACAGCCGCAGTGGATCAAATGGCAGTCTGACGGACGGCAGCTTTTAGCCTCGAAACCCTGAAGGCAGTTTTAACGGCCTGGGAAGGATGTCAAGGGAGGGCGCAGAGCAGTTGACGTTGAACAATGCCACTGCAGCCTGCCTGGTCGTCGACCCGTAGAGACGAGATCGTAGAGACGAGAACCGCGACAGGCGCATGGGGGACCAGCTACGTCTCGCGTGTGTGCTCTATAGTCCGCTACCGGCCATCAGGCATCTCGAGCTTCATCTGATTGTCGCGCGGTTACAGATGATCTCTGGCTTTGGGCTACGCCAATCAGACGGCGGCAAGAGCTGCCCGTCACAGAGCGTGGCAGACTGGGGCGTGAATAAGCCCCCAAAAGACAGGCGGCCGACAAATCAGGCCGCGCCGGGAGGCTGACGGTGGGGCGGGCAGCTGCTTGGCCCCCTGCTCCTGCTTCCAGGTTGTTGCCTTTCACGGGTGCTCTTGCTCTTTCAGGTGCCATCGAGCGAACGAGCGAGCAAGCAAACGGCCCAGAGGTGGAAAGTACGAGAGGCATTGTCGCGTCTGTCCTCCACTCTCCCTCGACCGATGATTCTTCTTTTCTTTCTCTCTCTCTCTCTCCCATACCTCCCCTTTCCCAACCGCCCTTCTTCAGACGCCTTTTTATTGCGTCTCTCGCCCTTCCTGAGCTTTCCTCCTCCCTCGAGGTTGCTTCACGCCGTTTTGCACAAAGGTCGACCGACGACCCCTCCTCTCGCTCAACTCCCTCAGCCCACCAACGCCGATTGCTGCCCCGCCCCGATTTCCCCGCCTCACCTTCGGGACCCCGCGTGCACGCAAGCTTACCCAGAACGCCGACCGCAGCAAACAAAGAAGAAACGCCCCTCCCCTCAGCCTCGACACCTCAACACACCTTGTCGCGCGCAAAATGGCCGACCTCCAGGGACGCAAGATCTTCAAGGTCTTCAACCCAAGATTTCATCGTCGACGAGCGCTACACCGTTACGAAGGAGCTAGGTCAGGGAGCTTACGGAATCGTCTGGTAGGCCTCAACGTCCCCTCGCCCCCGCGCTCCTCGCTCCTCGCCCCTCGCCCTGCAGGCTGCACAGCACATCTCGACCCAACATTGCATTGCGCTGACCTGGGACTTCTCTGCACAGCGCCGCCGTCAACAGTGGAAGCAACGAGGGCGTCGCCATCAAGAAGGTCACCAATGTCTTCAGCAAGAAGATCCTCGCCAAGCGCGCCCTCCGCGAGATTAAGCTCCTCCAGCATTTTAGGGGCCACCGAAACGTGCGATCCCGCCCCCCTCCCAGTCTCTCATGATGCTCTTGGCAAAGCTGACATTGTCTCATTTGTAGATCACTTGTCTCTACGACATGGATATTCCCCGCCCCGACAACTTTAACGAAACGTACCTCTACGAGGGTTAGCATTCCTTCTTCAATCCCACCCTTGACCGTCCGGCCGCGACCAGCCCGCTGATGATATCCCCTCTGCAGAGTTGATGGAGTGCGACTTGGCCGCCATCATTCGCTCTGGCCAGCCCCTGACCGATGCTCACTTCCAGTCCTTCATTTATCAGATCTTGTGTGGTTTGAAATACATCCACTCCGCCAATGTGCTTCACCGTGACTTGAAGCCCGGCAACTTGCTGGTCAATGCCGACTGCGAGCTCAAGATTTGCGACTTTGGCCTGGCTCGCGGCTTCTCCGTCGATCCCGAGGAGAACGCTGGGTACATGACCGAGTATGTCGCCACGCGTTGGTACCGCGCGCCCGAGATTATGCTGAGCTTCCAGAGCTACACCAAAGCTAGTGGGTTGATCCATCCCCCCCGTGACGAAGGACTTCCACTGACTCGGGCCTAGTTGATGTCTGGTCCGTTGGCTGCATCCTTGCCGAGCTTTTGGGCGGCCGCCCCTTCTTCAAGGGCCGCGACTACGTCGACCAGCTGAACCAGATTCTTCACATCCTCGGTACCCCCAACGAGGAGACGCTTTCCAGGATTGGCTCCCCGCGTGCGCAAGAGTACGTGCGCAACTTGCCGTTCATGACCAAGAAGCCGTTCCCCCAACTCTTCCCCCAGGCGAACCCTGACGCGCTTGACCTGCTCGACCGCATGCTTGCTTTCGACCCCTCAAGCCGCATCAGCGTCGACCAGGCTCTCGAGCACCCGTATCTCCACATTTGGCATGATGCCTCCGACGAGCCCGATTGCAAGACGACATTCAACTTTGACTTTGAGGTCGTCGACGACGTTGGTGAGATGCGCAAGATGATCCTCGAGGAGGTGTACCGCTTCCGTCAGTTTGTCCGCACCGTCCCCGGCGGCGGTCAGGGAGGCACGCAGGCCGCCCAGCAGGCCGCCGCTGGCCAGGTGCCCATCCCTTCGGGCCATGGCCAGTGGAGTACCGAAGACCCCAGGCCGCAGGAATACCAGGCCCACGGCGGAGGTCTGGAGGCCGACCTCGCAGGCGGACTCGACCACCGAAGGTGATGACGCCTCTGGTGCAAAGCAAAGAGGAGGATGGCAAGAGGACGGGATGTATGGGCAAAACGGGGTCTGGACGGGCCAGGTCCCGAGGCACTCGAATTGGACTTTTCACGACAGTCTTGCTCTTCGACGTATGTTCCACCATGATTTTGGACAAGGGTGGTTGGGTGAGGGTTTCCAGGCTGTAGCAAGAGGAGGACACATGACGAAACTCGGGCATGCAGAAGGTGGGAGCAAGACGGCCAGATGTCGGCTTCCAATAGCGAATGAATGAACAAGAACTCCAGCTAGACGTGGCTGCAGTGAAGTGACGTGACCAGTGGACGTGTTGTGTTGACTGAACCAATGTGACTTGGTTTGCCAGGTATCAGACGTGCTGCACGAGGTCGCCACGTCTAACAAGAAGACTACGCCCACAGGGAACAGCCAGCTACAGCCTTGAAATTCTTGACGGAACTAACACGTTGCGATCCGGCAAGGAAGGAGAAGTGAGGAATAATGTGTCTGATGAACTATGGTGGAACCTGAACGCCTCAAGAGCCCTTAGATACAGTCTGCCCGCATGTCCAGGCCTCGCGACTATGTACCCGCGGCGAAACCTCCCAAAGCAGGACCAGCCTGTCCTGCCCCGTTCCCGTCTCCATGCCGTGCCGTGCTCGCCCCGCGCCGAGCCCGATTAATAAGGTAAGAAAGAGTGGTACCGTGGCCACGCCACGCTTTCATGTGAGGGAGAAGGGGGAATCGATCCTAGACTCGTGATGAAGAGCCAGCCCCGCGACTCCAAGATGTTCGTGGCCAATGCTGACAGGACGGTGATAAAAGAAAGAAAGAAAAACATGGACCGTGAAACGACCGTCTATGATGAATGCCCCCAGATCTTTTTAGGTTGTGGGAGAGCGGACTGAGCTGTCCCAATGCAAGCAATGATCGAAGACCCAATTGACGCGAGAAAACATTCTAAGCACTGCCGTAGAGCCAGTAGTAGGTGGCGTAGGGTACGCTCTGGGGCTTGTCGTCGACGCACGCCTCGGGCTTGCGCCGGCGGTGATGACGCGGTAGACGGCGGAGAAGCCACGGCTGCCGGGGTTGGCGCCGAGGTAGAGCCACGCAACGGCACCCGTGCCGACGGGACCAGGGTCTGCGCTGGCGGGAGCGGGGGCGTCACCGACTTTGAAGGCCTTCAGGACGGAGGCCTTGGCGTCGGCCTCGGAGGTGCCGGTCAGGAACGTAGGAACGCCGGCGCCGTCAAAGTAGTGAAGGCCGAGGAAGGGGACCTGTTGGCCGGGAATATCGAGTGGGGCTGGGGCCTTGAAGGGCTTGGAAGCGGAGGCACCGAACTTGGTGGTGCCGTCGGTGTTGAGGGGCAGCGGGGTGCCCCAGAGCGCGGCTGTTGTCAGGGCATTGAAGTGTTCGACTGAGGGGAGGGCTTTGGGTCCGCGACCAGGGTACAGGGCGGTGGCATCGTAAAGAACAGCGACGGCGCCGGTAGCCTTGGCTGCCTGGCCGACAGCACAAGTGTAGTTCTGAATGCCGTGGCCGACGGCGATGTACTTGAGAACACTGCCCTGAGGCGGTGATGCGAGCTCAGTTGCTAGTGGGCGTGTTAGTAAGGAGACACGATGAGGCTGTACGTGGGGGATTGGGGTTGTGGGACGTACCGCCACCGTTGACAGGGAGTGTGGGCGCCTTCTGCGCACAGCTGGTGCCGTCTTGCTTGCGGACGGGCGAAGCAGCGGCGAGCGCCAGGGAGGCGAGGAGGAGGAGTGACCTGGCGAGCATGGCTGTGATGTCTGTGTGTTGTGTGATATGGTATTTGATGTGGTATGTGATGTTTGCGTTCCGAGAATGCGATAAGGGCCAAAGTGCAGATGCAGTTGGTAGCAGTAGCCTGG